TCTTTGTCCACTTGAAGTGGAAAAAAGAAAGTACTTGGTTGTCGCAAAATCAGGGATATTTCCTGCAAAGAACAGCTGCAGATTTGCAATGTGTCTTCTCTCCCCTAGCAGTATCATGAATCTAAGTATAAGAAAACAACTGAGTGATACCAAAGTTAGCAGAAGCCCAAACTATCATGTCACCATGATACACTCACTATGGGTCTTGTACCCTGCACCCTGCATCATAAAGGTTAGCCTTGTTCTCCGTTTTCCTCTACCCTGTGCTTCCCAAAGTTGTCTTTTCACTCCAGCAGTGGGGAGGAATATCTAGAGACAGGCTATGTTCTCTCTCCTTCACTCTTACATCTCTCCCTCTTTCCAGCAAAGTGGTGGAGCACAGCTGAGTTACATACATGGGATGAGCAACAGTCTGTGGGTCCTAAGAAAGAAATGGTCCTGCAGTGCAATTCTCTCTTGAACACATGGGTTGTAGGAAGAAATGTTTGAGAATTTGCCCTAATTCTTTTTCTATGAAGTTTCATGGGGACAGAGGGGTGCTGTTTGAGTCACTGAGTCAGAATATCACAATCAAAATATCAAAAGCAGGAAAGCCAATTCACCTTTCTTCCTAACTGACCAGATTTATGGATCAGAGACAGGAGGAACAACCATCATCTTTTTCACTTAATGCAGTCAGCTAGTGGTACAGACCTTGGAAACTTCTGTGTTCAGTCAGATTTCACCTGGATTCCAACCAAAACACCACATACTATATTTGGACCATGCCATGAAGCAGACAAAAACATACATAACTGTAGAACACAATTTAAGACACAGCTTTACTAAAATAATTCAGTGTCTCCAAGAGGAAATTAGTCTTAAGAAACAAATCAAAAGTCCCCAAATCTGCTGATCTTAAAAAAAAAGAGGAATTGGTTTTTTTGGTCTTCATTCTGGGATATGTTGCAAGGAAAAGAAATCACTCTGGAATACAGAAGTTTTGTAACTCTTACTCCATAGTTAAAAGATGTTGGTCACTTATGCAATGAGACATTGTCTATACAAATAGAAACATGATGGTTTGGTCCCCTTTTCCCTTACTGCGTAAGTGTAATAGTAACTATGGAATAAAGAAGGTATTTCTATTTGT